TCTATAAACATATGAAAATCTTGAAAATGAACGGTGTTGATAATATGTTGTAAAATGCACTATTTTTTAGACTTCAAAATCTTTTTATTTTTCATAGTCATACATCTCGATGTCGAGATAATCAATCAAAGGGTTTTTCAACATTAAAACTACCTTTTCCGACGGATTTTTGAGGGCCATATGTGGTTCTATATTATAAGGTAGCATCCTTGTATAAACTATTTCCACATATGGGGCAACGATTTCATGCAACCGTTGTATAGTAATATAATGCAACAACTTTAAAAAACCATTTTATGGCCATTTATTTGATCCAAAATTTGAAATATACACTCTTTTCATTCTAATGAACAATCACAAAAAAAAGAAAAATTTGAAAATACAACCTAGAAAGTATTTTTTAGCCCAATTAACAGACATCGTTCATTTTGGTGGCGAGATGCTTAGATCTAAGCCTTAGAAAGATTTTTTCATTTCGAATTTTTTTGAATGGCTTTGTTATCATTAGATGAACAATGTTAAAAAAGAAAAAAATAGTTTTGAGTTTGTAAAGGCTAAGATCTTGAAATTCACAAAATGAACAGTCTAGATTCGTTTTTGGAGATGACTCATTTTGACCCTATCTAGGGTTCAAATTTAAATTTTTTTTTGGGGAGGGGGAAGGGTGTGTGTATAAAATTGGAGTTCATACAAACACCACAAACATGGTTTTCTAGAAATATTGTTGCACTATACTATGATCCAACCGTTGCATTGAATCATTGCTCTATATATAAAGGTCTAAACGATCCATGTTGAATAGTGTAATTTTATTTTTATTGTTTTTTGGTCAAATACATGTTTATTTTAATTGGGCTGGTAGCTTCTAGTCTAAAGATTAAGGCTATAAAGGAATGTTTAACAAATAGGTTTAGCCTAATCTGGCAGGTTTTGACAATAGTTTAGGCTAATTAGTCGGCTTTAGTTAATGAGTTGGATGAATTAAGAAGGCTTTAGCTTAGTTAATCATAGTTTAAGGCTAACTAATTAGAATTTTCATAATTAGTGACTTATATGGGATTTCTAATTTGTTATATGGTCCCTAGTGTAGTTTATGTTAGAAAGGGTGTATTTGGATGGGATGAAAGTCTGATTTTAGGTCTGGAATGGATCTAGGTCAAGACCGAATCAGATTTCCTTGAATTCCATGAGCAGGGAAAAGGGTGTCTACAACTGTATATTTATTTATTTTTGGGTCAAGCCAATGCTAGCCTGAACTTGGCCAACAAATTATTGAGACATCGAGATTGATCTGGGCCCTTTGTGCAAACTTTACATGCGACCCGACCTGCCCTGAATTGGATAGCCCTGTTAACGACCTTAGAAACCGCTTGAAACTTGGTGCTTGAGGATGTGTTTCAACCTAAAAGGTGTCAACTTTATACAGTAGAAGTAAAGTGCATTTTAAAAATCTATTAGAAGAGGTTGTTCCAACATCGAAAAACCTTTGACCATAACGACTTCGAGATATATGAATATACAAAAAAGAAAAAAAAAATCAAGTCCTAAACGTAATACATTATCTTGACTGTTCATTTTTTAAATTTTACGTATTTATATATCTACTCGATGTACAATGTTTTTATAGCTTTAAATTCATAACTAGGGGTAAAAATAGATTTTAAGACCATCGAAAGGGTTTTCGGCACTGCAAATTAATCTTTTAGTAAGATTTAGAGGTACATCTTGATTGTTTAACCCAATCCAAACTTACTATTAGAATTGAAAGAGGGCACATTTGAATAGTGTAGTTGAGAACACATCACCAACTTTTCCACAATGGAAATGCTTGTCACTGAAATGATGGCATTATGTGCCAAAAATTAACAAAGCGAATAGTGCTATTTGCACGAAGATAGGGGTCGCAATGGACCCAGACCGACCCAAGACCTGAGGGGTAGATCTAATCCTGGTCCGATATGGGTTTAAAAATTAAACCGAACAGGTTGGATCCAGGTCCAAATCTTGTGCCCGAATATAATGTGTCGGGGCCTTGAAAATCTTGGGTTTGGCCCACAAGAATGTATTTTGAGATTGCTTCCATTTAGCCCAGCCCACCTTGATCGAGCCAAGGTCGGGCTTGGGGATTAGGGCGGGCTAAGGAAATGGTGCCCTATTTTTATTGAGGCATATTGCCACCCGCTGGAGTTAGTGTACAATATGCTCCAACGGAGCATGATACACGCGCTGATCATCCATGGTCATGATTTGCCCGTGCCTTGCCCGCGTGTGATCTAGTTGCATCCGGATTTCCCCCGACTGAGAGTTAGAGACACAACTGCAATGGTTTGTGTTCCCTCTTGTGGCGTGTGGACTTCATTCTAGAGAGAGAGGAAAAAGATTAGAGAGAGAAGAAATGGTGGGTGTGGTTTTGATTTGTATGGTAACAACTGCTATCATTTGGCTCTTCTTCAAGTTTGCCAAGGCAGAAGGTGCTCCCCTGCTTCATTTTTCCTGAAATTTTTTGCCTATGTTTCCTTTTCATTGTATAGATAATTTCTTGTTAAACTTTTTTTTTGTTTCTGAATCCTGTGAGAGTAAAAGAGTTTGTTGGGGTTTTTCAGATATTTGGGATTTCCAAGTCTTCTGTAAATTAGAAATTTTTTGCTGGCTAATTTATTTGAATTGATTTATTTTTCTTAAATATTCTGATTTTATATGGTTGAAAACAATGGTTTTCATTGAGGGGATTTGCAGGGGATTTCACACTACTGGCAAAAGGAGCAGCTAAGCGGGAGGAAGTGGAAGATAAGGTGGGTTTTTTTTTCTCTTTTTCCATTTATCTGATTTTTAGAGAGAGAGAGAGAGAGAGAGGAGAGAGAGAGAGAGAGAGAGAGAGAGAGTGGTAGTTAGTTTAGTTGTTAGTTATTTCTTCTATTGTAGTTAGGTTGTGTAGTAGTTACGAGGCGTACGTAGGTGGTCGGTACGTACGGTGGTAAGTAAAGTAA